CTTTTGTAAAATCCTCTTGAGAAAATTTCTTCTCGTAAACCGTGTAACTTGGGGCATTTAAGAGGTGAAGTTATTCGCGAGAATTTTTGTGCAGTTTATCAGCAGTAAACTTGGGGCATAAAAAATTAATTCCGAGGGAAATCCATATTTGTCAAGATATGTGATATGCTTTGCACACATTATCAGATGGTGGTATCCCCCAGTGTTTCCTACTAGGCAAGTTTTCTTTCTCCCCAACTAAAGCAGAGTTCGTGTTGTTATTCTTCTAATGGATTATTGATGTTAGAAGATTAGACTTTGGATTTTCTCTCAAAAAATATCTTCTTCCCCAGAGAGATTAGAGCCTTATAGAAGAAATATGCTCCGTCAATGGATTTTTTTCTATCTCCAGTAATGTTCTTATCTTGTTGATGTTAGCCGAGTATCTGGTTATACTGTGATGTCTAATCATCTCTAGTTTATCTCTTCTATCTGTTTTGTCAAACATATACATGACATTCATTTATTAATTCACACTTGCATCATGCACGAACATTCGTATTTGTCGATGTTATTAGGTCCGTATACTTGGTTACGTCTATTCAAACATCGTGTTTTCTCTTTACAAATAGAGTGATAACTTAAGCAAAAAGTGTGCCTCCTTTCTAATTCCTCATTGAGTTAACTCTCGTGGAAGAATCTTGCTTTAGCTTTCCTTTTCCATCTCTGGATAGGATAAAGCCCCAATTGAGTTGTTTCCTCATTGGGTGGAGTCTTGTTTGAGTGTTTTCTCTCCTATTTATTCCTGGATTGAGCTTTGTCTCTTGCGGATTCTACCTCGTGGATCTCTCTAGGCTATGAAACCTAGATGGAGAGTGCATTTATTTTGAACATTTAAATACTTGGTCTCCTCAGAAAGAATCTATTCATGGTTTCCCATTGAAGATGAATTTTGTTTCCCAGTAGTGTTGTTGCAACACTCTTTTAGAATCTCAACATGACAACAAGTGGCAGACTCTTTATGAGCAGCTTGTGTGTTATTGGTATCTTTGAAGGTAGAAGGTGGAGGACTCTTCAAGAGCATCTTGTGTGCTTTAATATCATTTGAATACAAAAAGTGGCAGTCTCTTCATGAGCAACTTATATGTTTATTAATATCCTTTGAAGACAGGACTTGGTGGTCTCTTCATGAGTAGCTTGTATGTTATTAACATCCTTTGAAGACAACAAGTGGTGGTATTTTCATGAGCAGCTTGTGTGTTTATTAACATCTTTGGAAGACAGTGAGCGGCGGTCTCTTCATGAGTAGCTTGTGTGTTATTGGTATCTTTGAAGGTAGCAAGTGGCGGACTCTTCATGAGCAACTTGTGTGCTTTAATATCCTTTGAAGATAATAAGTGGAAGTCTCTTCATGAGAAGCTTATATATTTATTAATATCCTTTGAAGACAGCAAGTGGCGGTCTCTTCATGAGCAGCTTGTATGTTATTAACATCCTTTAAAGATAACAAGTGGTGGTCTCTTCATGAGAAGCTTGTGTGTTTATTAAGATCTTTGGAAGACAGCGAGCGGCAGTCTCTTCATGAGCAGCTTGTGTGTTATTGGTATCTTTAAAGGTAGCAAGTGGAGGACTCTTCATGAGCAACTTGTGTTCTTTAAAATCTTTTGAGGACAACAAGTGGCCGTCTTTTCATGAACAACTTGTATGTTTATTAATATCCTTTGAAGACAGCAAATGGTGGCTCTTCATGAGCAGCTTGTATGTTATTAATATCCTTTAAAGACAACAAGTGGAGGTCTCTTCATAAGAAACTTATATGTTATTAATATCCTTTGAAGATAGCAAGTGGAGGTATCTTCATGAGCATCTTGTGTGTTTGTTAATATCCTTTGAAGACAGCAAGTGGCAGCCTCTTTATTTGAGCAGCTTGTGTATCCACAATAATATGTTATTTCAACAGCAAATGGCATCTCTTTTGAGAAGTTTACTCATCAACATCAAATGGCATCTCTTTTGAAAAGTTTGCTCACCAACACCAAATTCCATCTCTCTGAAAAGTTCCATAGAGAAGTTTGTATATTACCTTTTATGAGTGATATCTTGGATAAAGAAGAAACTATTCTCCATTCTAGGAGAGATCCAGAAGTCAGAGAAGTTTATTATCCTTTCAGAGTGATATCTTGATCAAAGAAGAAATTGAGACCCGTTCTAGGTGGAATGCCAGAATTTTAGGAAACTTATTATTGCTTTATGAGCTGGTAGTTCACTCATTTGTTAGTCAGTATCTTCTTCTTTATCCTCATTAGACTTTGCCCTAATAGAGTTGAGCTTTCCCCAGTTTCTGTACTGACACCAATCAGTTACCAGTCTCAATACTGATGTAAATCATTTTTCTCTCCAGTCTCAGTACTGATGAAAATCATTTCATCCCCAATTGTAGTGCTGATGTCAATTATTCGCTTACCAGTCTCAAGGCTGACGTTCACTGTTGTTTCTGAGTCAGTATTATGCTGTTTGTTCTACCATCAACCCTGAGTTGGTATTTCACCTTCAGTAAAAGTTGGTAATATTTGTTTCACCTTCAGTAAAAGTCGGTAGTTCACCTTCAGTAAAAGTTGGTGCATTCTTTTGTTTCTTTACCTTCAATAGAAAATCGATAATTCACTACCTGTAAAAGTTGGTGTATCTTTTTCTTTGTCTACCTTTGACCCTTGAGTTGTAAACTCACCATCGTCTTGGGTCAGTAGCCGTCTATCTTTTTGCAGCCTATGCAAGGCGTTTTCTTTGCTACAGTCATAAAATTGCTTTCTCTCAAAGTTATTTCCCAATAAGAGTCTCTCATTCGAAGTCTGTGGCTCTGTTTCTCCAGTAGAGTTATAATCTCTTCCATTGTGGATTATTTTATCATGTGTTTGGTTTCTCTATCAGTAGTTTGCCTCATGCGGCATCATTCCCCATAAAATTCAAAAATATACATTCATATCATATCATAAACACAATTGCGGTATCTTAAGGCCAAAAATTGTGTATTATGTATTTAAGTCTCTTCAAACTCGTCGAGACGGAGATTTCAATCTTCATATCATCAGATAAAAGAAACTTAAATAGGGGCAACTGTCATACCCTAAATTTTGACCAAAGATCCCATTTTTTATTTTGCATTTTATACAAAAAGTCAAGGTCGCGAAATATAGTCGATTTTAACCTCTCACCTTCGAGCATTGACTATGTAGAGATTGTCAAGTGTTTTGAACATTGTTAGCCTATGTATCACTAACTTCTAATCGCATATAAAGGTGTATGTTCGTGTTGTCTTTTGTTCCATGTGCAGAGACATGTCTGAATCAAGAGCATCAGGCGTCGCGCCTCAATTAGGGTTGAGTCTCCCAAGCCAGAAGTACGATTGATTATGGATTCTCGAAGATTGATTCATCAAGGCACAACCTCTAATCTCAGAGCATAGAGTCTCAAGCATCATTCAATCTAATTTTGATCAAAGATGTCTTTTAGAACTTCAGAGGTTTGTGTGTTTATTTCCACGCCTTGTTCGACAAGCGGTCTCAAGCTTCTCCACAAATTCCTTAAAGCACAGACAATATTTCATCATCACTGGTTCATATATGCATTAACATGCCTTGGGGTACAAGAAAGATCAAATTTGCAAGTCGATTCGAAGCACTTCGATGAAAAAGCCAACTTTTTGCAAGATCAAGTTCAAATGATCATAACTTCTTCATTAATCAATATTTTTGAATGGTTATTTTTGCATATAGCTCTCCTTGACGTCATCTCCAACTCCTGTTTACCAGTCAAGATCTGATTATGTGCAGAGGATCATCAAAAGTACGGATACTTTAGAGTTCATTTTGTGGAATTTGACCTAATCTCAAAACTGTTGTGCCTAACTTCCAAGGATCATAATTTCTTTGATTCTCGACATTTTGAGGTGATTCTTTTTGCATATTGTCATGAGTGATGTCATCTACAAGTTCTCTTCAAGGATCGAGAGTTAATTATGCATAAAAGATCGTAAAAGTTATTGAATCATTATGGGCCATTTCCTGACTTAGAATGTTCTTAACTCCTATGTTCAACTGATGTCATAAATATTTTCTCAAGATACTTGATTCTTACGTGGAGATTATTCATGAAAATAAGAGATGGAGTTTGGAAATTCATTGATCGCTTTATTATTTGCAATTCGAATCACTTGTGTATGAGCATTTGGTGATTATTGAATAAAAGTGGATTTCTCAAGGAATTATTGTTCTTTCAAGCGCTATTGGATTGTATTACGAATTACCATGAATTGAAGATTCGCACATAAGATGTCATTAAATTCAATTTAATTCAATGTTTCAAAGACATTCGTCCCTTTCCAAGGTTTTCAAGCTAGCCATGATTCAATTGTCCATTTATAAGTTCAAACTTCATTCATGGGAGTAAATTTGAGACATGTATCATAATTGATTCGAGATTGCAAGGCATGTACCATGATCCATTCACCTGAATGTAAGGTCCAATTTAGCGTGTTATTTCAAGTTTATTCAAGAATGGATCAAGAATATATTCCAATATCATTCAAGATTCATACAAGCATAAAAGCTATATATTTCCACTCATGATTCAAAGTTAACAACATCTTTGAAAAAAAGAGAGTTGTATTCAAGAATCATTCAAGAGACTTCAAATTCATTCAAAGATTCAAACGTCATCACTCACGACCTATTCAAGTCTCAAGTTTCATTCAAAGTTTACGCATATGCGACAACCAAAGGAAAATTTCAAAAAAAAAAAAGAAGAAAAGATTCATTGCAATTGCAATTTCATTACATCATTCAAATCAAATTCATCCATACAGTTACAAAAGAAATTTAAAGAATTACAAAAAATAAATCTTAAGTCTTATTCCAATATTGGTACAAGTCTTCATGTCATTTTCCCAAACTCTCTTTTACACCAAATTGTCCCAAAACCTACAAACCTGCTACTTTCTTATTGCAAATCTACCCACAAACCTGCTATTGTCTTACTGCCAAATCTACCCACAAATTTGTTACTGTCTTGCTGCCAAATCTTCCCACAAACCTGCTCCAATAGTCCAAAACTGCTATAAACAGACTGCTGCCCTGCAAGCATAACAAGCTAAACATTGCATCAAAAGGGAAGGTTAGAAATTTATAGAATAAAGAAGTGAAATAGGACACACAAATCTGTTCAAACTCAATAACTTTTCCCTCCCAATTTCACTCCACTTGCCTATATAAGAGGGATGACTATGAAGAGAAAAAAGACAGTAAAGAAAAATCTGTTTAATCCATGAGGGAAGGAAGTAGGGAAAATAATACAACAATAAAATAGGAAAAAACTCTAAAATAATGGTAGGGAACCATATTACCTCCACTTTGGTTCTATTTGTCTCTGCTCCAAATCCAGGTTCCATTTCTTTCCTATTTCTCTGTAAAGTAGGTATTCATTGAACATAGCAATTTTTGTCTCGTGTTCATACTCGCGAATTCGTAATATTGTTGTTGACATTGTTGTTGATGTTGTTGAATATGAATCGTATTGTTATTGAGAAATCTGAGCCATTCATTATTCAATTCAAAGGCATGAAAGTCATAACAACAATTTTTAAATTCACAAACTTTTTAAACAGAAAATTCAGAAATTCAAAAAAAAATCACAGTTTTGCACCTGGTAAATTCCACAAAATCAGGACCAATTCCTCACACAGCTCATTCCATGATTTCCTTTCTTCACCCTTATCTCACTGTCCCACCGCCGTGACAACTCGGCTTCTCTTAACCTTCCTCCTTTTTCTACCCTTCTGAACTCAATGTACACCTTCATCATTGTCCATGTTTCCATCGACACACCACCACCATTCTGCAACACACGAAAGAACTGAGGAAAAAAAGACATAAATAAAAACTCAAAAAATAGTAAGAGGAAGAAAATACTTAAAAAAACTGCTTCAGACCTTCCTCTATCCGTCTCATTTCCATCCTTTGTTTTTTTCCTCTCTCGTTGCTCCAAAAATGGCGAAGCTTCCTTGATCTATGCACGTGTAAAGGATTTTCGAACTTGTTCAAACCATATCCGAGTCACCATTTTTTCCAAATAACCGGTCGAATCAAACAGATTTCATCGGTTTAGAAACAATTTTCGATCTCCTAACACTCCTACCAGGTTAAAACCCACAAGCATAAACTTTTATGGTACGAGGATTCTGTAATTTGTATTATTGGGCTATTTTTCTTGTTTGACTCTATTGAATTGAAACAAAAGTTTTCTGCATTATCTGGTGTTTTTATGGATGGAGATAATGGCCTTAACATAACCAACTGGGGCTACTATGAACTTGTTGCGTCTTTTAAGAGCCATCTCGGGTTACCACTAACAATCATCTACTATTAAACCCAACCTTTTCGACTTCCGTCACCCCAAATCACTGACAATCTCCCTTTTAACAATAGTTGCAGCTACATCTCTCTCTGCCAATAATCTCCGCCCCTACCACCCACTGTAGCCTCAAGCTTCTTCCTCTATCACCGTAACCCTTCACTGTAACAACCCTACTAAAACTCTTATTATGAATTCTCATTCGTTTCAAAGCACAATCGAAATGGCTCACACTAAGAAAGAAGTAGAAAACCCTAAGTTCTCAGCCTCCCCTTTCAAACCCATATTCTATCCAAATCGATTTCATGAACGCTCTCTACCAATCTCAACCAAGGTGGAATCTCCATGCTAGAAAGCCCAACCGGTACTGGAAAAAACCATGAGTGCAATCGATGATGAACCTGATTGGACAAGAGACTTTGTTGTTTATAATAATGATAATTTAATTTGATTCTCCTTCTCAATAAAAAAACAGCAGCGACGCTTCATTAGCTCTCTAGGTTGTTTTATTTTATTTTTTATTTTTGGGCTTGTAGTCTTTAAGCCCAATCCGAATTTACACAACAACATCATCTAATTTGATGTTTACACCATCCTTGTGCCCATGTATCATTTTGGGCCTCTCTTCCCTCAAGCCCAACACCCCATTCACCTATGCAGCCTAGTTTCGAATTCTGCTTTGGTATACCCTCTAGTTAGCTGAAGGCAGAATTTAGTTTCATTAATTAATTAGTTTAAATTTATAATCATTGTAGTAATTTTGAAATTTTAATTTTAATGTAGTTAAAAATTTTAAAATTTAATTTAGCTAGATTTAAATTAGAAATTTAGAACTTCTAATTAGTTTAGATATATTCTGATAATTTTAGAATTTTAATATATTTATATTAGCAATTTAGAACTTCTAATTAGTTTAGATATATTCTGATAATTTTAGAATTTTAATAGATTTAAATTAGCAATTTAGAATTTTTAATTAGTTTAGATATATTCTGATAATTTTAGAATTTTAATGAATTAAAATTAGCAATTTAGAACCTCTAATTAGTTTAGATATATTCTGATAACTTTAGATTTTTAATTTAGTTTTATAATTTTATTCTTTAGTTTATAATTAATTTAGTTTTGATTTAAATTAGTACTTTTAAAATTTCAATTTATTTTAGATAACTTTCGTTTGATTTAGATATTTTTACCTCGTGATTTTTCTTTATCTCTGTATTTATTTTCTCATTGTCTATATTATCATTGTTACATTTATTATTCAAATTTTTTTCTTTGTGTTGGCTAATTTTGTGATATTTTTGATTTAGCTCATTTTAATAGCTTACTCTATCTCTATCGTTTGTTTGGTTTATTCCAAGGGAAAAAATTAACTAGTCGACTTCATGTCATCTAATACTTAATACGATTGTGTGAATCCCTTCATTCATTTTTGTTTTTTTTACTATTTTGTTAATCTTAAATTAATTTTATTAAAAGACTCAATTTTAAAACTCACATCTTTTAAGTCAAAACTTTGACACTAGGTCGTCATATCTTAAAAATCTCGTCCACACCCTTTTTAACCAAACAAACCATATTTAACCAAACAAACAATTTTAACCAAAAACAGATATTTCAAAAGGTTCCTGCAGAGTACCACAAATGTATTGGGTGCTAGTACCTTCCCTTTGTATAACCAACCCCCGAACCTTCAATCTCTTTCAAATGCATTGTATTTTTCTTTACTTTTAGTATTGCACTTACTTTGCATATTTATGGGTTTTATTTTGCACTTTTCCCTTTTCCCTTGGAAATAATAAAGCGCGGTGGCGACTCTTTCTTATTTGCGAGTCAAGTTGATTAATAGCTTGATCTCTGATTTTCACCACTACACCTACATTGATGACAACCTCTATGAATGTTTAGCCCTTACCCCAGATCTATACCATGCCATAAGAGACCATCTCTAGAACTTAAAGAACTTTCCAAGAATCAAAGATATGAGTTTTTAGATAAAATAATGAACAGTCCAGTTATAGTAAGTGCTACCTTAAACTAAGATGAAACAAATCAACTTTTAGATGTCTTACAAAAATATCCCTCAGCCTTAGAATATAACATCTCTGATCTAAAATGGATAAGCCCATCCGTATGTACGCATCGGATTTTATTAGAGGAAGATTTTAAACCTTCCAGAGAGCATCAAAGAAGGATAAACCATATAATGAGTGATGTTGTTAAGAGAGAGAAGTGCTTAAGTTACTAGAAGCTGGTATACTTTATCAAATTTCAGACAGTAAGTGGGTAAGCCTTGTGCATGTGGTACCAAAAAAAGGAGGTATCACAGTCGTGCAAAATGAGAAAGGCGAACGTGTAGCTAAACGTGTAGAAGTCGGTTGGCGTATGTGCATAGATTACAGAAAACTAAACAAGGAAATTAGGAAGGATCATTTCCTTCTTCTATTCATAGATCAAATGCTTGAACATCTTGCTAGACACTCTTATTTTTGTTATCTAGATCGATACTTGGGATTGTTCCAAATCCCTATTCACCCTGAGGACCAAGAAAAGAAAAACCTTTACATGCCCTTACGGAACATTTTCCTATAGACGAATGCCATTCAGACTCTGTAATGCCCCATCTACCTTTCAGAGTTGCATGATGTCAATCTTTGCAGATTATCTTGATGGAATTATGGAAGTATTTATAGATGATTTCTCGGTATGCGGATTTGACTTTAAAGACTGTCTCGTTAACCTTGAGAAAATTCTGGAAAGATGTGTAGAAGTAAACCTTGTGTTAAACTGGGAGAAGTGTCATTTTATGGTTAATGAAGGTATATTATTAGGGCACATCATTTCTGAAAAGGGAATTGAAGTTGATAGAGCCAAAATAGAAGTGATAGAAAACCTCAAACCACCTAAAACCATTAAGGAAGTCTGAAGTTTTCTTGGACATGCCGATTTTTACTGACGCTTTATCAAAGACTTCTCTAAAATAACCAAACCTTTAACTGGCCTTCTAATGAAAGACGTTGAATTTATTTTCAACGAAAAATGTATTGAAGCTTTTAATCTTTTGAAATAAGCACTGATTTCAGCACCTATTCTGCAACCCCCAGATTGGACCTAACCTTACAAAATCATGTGTGATGCTAGCGATTATGTTGTTGGTTCAGTTCCAGGGCAAAGAAAGGATAAGAAATTACATGTAATTTACTATGACATTAGAACCTTAGATGCCGCCCAACTTAACTATGCAACAACGGAAAAAGAACTCCTAGTTGTAGTTTTTGCAATTGATAAATTTTGATCTTATCTGGTCGGAGCCAAAATTATAGTTTATACAGATCATGCAGTTATTCAGTACCTGTTAAGCTAAAAGGAAGCTAAGCTTAGGTTACTTTAATAGATCCTTTTACTACAAGATTTTAACCTGGATATTCGAGACAAGAAAGACACAAAAAATGTAGTTGCTGATCACCTTTCTAGGCTTGAATACCTAAAACTAGATTCAATACTTATAATGACGACTTTAACTATGAAAAACTAATAGCTAAAATAGACACCATTGAAGATAATGACCTCGATACTTATGAGAACTTTGAAAAAGCCTTAGCAGTAAGCAATGTACCTTGGTACCCTGAATTTGTAAACTATTTATGTGCTAATATCATACCCCCTGGCTTTAACTATCAATGGAGAAAGAAATTCTTTAGGGATGTAAGACATTTTTATTTGGATAAACCACTTATTTTTAAAAGAGGAACCGACAATATTTTTCGTTGCTGTGTCGCAGAAAAAGAGGTAAGAAACGTCATAGAACATTGTCACTCTGCACCCTATGGTGGATATGCAAGCACATCTAAAACATGCGCTAAAATTCTCCAAGTTGGCGTTTATAGGCCTATATTATGGCGCAATTTTCATTCTTACATTGTCAGGTGTGATCGGTGCCAGCATACTGGGAACATCTCAAGACGTGACAAAATACCCTTAAGGAATATTCAAGAAGTAAATCTTTTCGATGTTTGGGGAATTGACTTTATGGGACCATTTCTATCCTCAATGGGAAACAAATATATCTTAGTAGTTGTCTACCATGTGTATAGATGGATTGAAGCCATAGCCTCACCCACGAGTGACACATGAGTAGTGATTAAGTTATTCAAGAATAACATATTCCCCAAATTTGGAGTGTCTCGTCTTGTTATAAGCAACGGTGTATCACATTTTATATCTAAGATATTTGACAAACTCTTAAATAAATATGGAGTTAAGCATAGAGTAGAAACACCATACCATCCATAAACTAATGGTCAAGTAGAAGTATCTAATAGGGAAATTAAATAGATCCTAGAAAAGACAGTTTCAATATCTAGGAAAGATTGGTCTCAAAAGCTTAAAGAAGCATTATGGGCTTATATAACTGCTTATAAAACCTCTATTGGAACCACATCTTACTAGTTGGTTTATGGAAAATCCTGTCACTTACCCTTTGATCTAGACAACAAGGCCTATTGGGCCATCAAAACCCTAAATTTAGATTACTTAACAGCATGTGAGAAGTGCATCCTTGACATTCATGAACTAGAAGAACTCCGTCAAAATGCCTAAGAAAATTCCATAATATAAAGAAAGAACTAAAGCATGGCATCATAAAAGAATTTTAAAAAGATACTTCAATATAGGATATCTTGTTCTCCTTTTTAACTCCAGGTCACGAATTTTCCTGGTAAGTTGCGTTCAAGATGGATTGGCCCTTATGAGGTCTCTAAAATTCTAAAATATAGAGCAGTTTAAATCAAGAACAACTCTTGTAATCCCTTTATAGTAAATTGGCAAAGTTTAAGCACTATCAAGGATGTTACATTCCCGCTGACTACTCCAACCACATTTTGATCAATCCACCGGTCCCTACTTCTGAGATATGAGTTCTATTCGTCAAACTAATGATGTTAAACAAGCGTTGTATGGGAGACAACCCATAGTTTTCTTTCATTTATATTTATAAGTTAATTTTATTTTTTTAGACTAACTTTCATAATGTTTATGTTTTCAGGTCCCATCACTCTCGATATCATTCTCCTCTAACCCTATTTTTCATGATGCAGAGTTTCGATGATATGCACATTGTTTTTAGAGATGAAATGCAAATAAAGTGATATGTGGTCCTATCTTAGTTCCCCATGTTTCCTACCCGATAACCCGACCAAAATTGCATGGAAACCTTAGGACTCGAGCCAAGTGTAAGGTACCTATGTAGTTAACTTCAATGGGAAGAATATGCTGATGCCATGAATATCACCTACAAAAATCTTACCATCGAATTCCTAAGCTCACTCAATTATGAACCATACTGTGATCGGTGGATTTAGAACTGACTGTTTAACGCTAGTTCGCGAAATGTCGCGGAAGCAAGAGTCGCCACCGTCTTTTATTTTCTCCAATATGGACAGGACAAAAGCACAGCAAAATTCCTTATG